GTTGCTGTCTGATTGGTTTCCAAATGAAAGCCGACTGTGTGCGGTCCGTCTTCAAGGCTCATGCAGGATCAATAGGCGTCGTACAGAGAGGCGCAATTTGTTAGCGATTTCGGCCTGCGCTCCAACCGACTGCAATTGTGCATCATTTAAGGAGGACTTTTATTGCACGCTTTACCGATTTTTCAGTAAAACTAAAAAAGCCAACGTCGTTGCTTTGCCGGAGATTCAATGTACAACTCGGTCGTCTGATGCCATACGAACATCATCATGGTGTTTTCAAGAATGTTCAGCATAGCGAGATTCAACCAGATAGCCTTCACACACACAGGGAAGCGTAAGACGGCACTTTCATCCTATTGGGAATCGTCTGTAGCGCGCACCTGCTGGATGCTGCCGGATTTGAACCCATGACGGTCCCTTAAGAGCCAGTGACTTATGCTGCTGAGCCAAGAGTAATGGCTGCGGACCACCATGATGGATCTCCAGTTGAGGTAGGACGCGGCACATCCACCATTTTATGCAGGTTGTGACAGTTCAGAGGAATTCTTTTGCAAGCCATCACTAATTGGGGTAGCATGTACGCAGCTAACGCGATTACTGGTTAATTGTGAATAGTTGGGGGTTATTTTTGTTATCTATGTTTCCGCCCTGTGCTTGGTGTGAGTCGCTTTGAAAAAAGAGAGAGGCTACCTCCGTCATATGCGGACAACATGCACTTTCTTGTGAGCACGAACTTCAGGCATACGAGAAGACGCGTCTCCAACACAAGGGTGGGCACAAATTGATCACATAGTAACAAGTTCCAGCTAGCGGCGTAGTGTGCAAAATTGTCAAGCAGTTTGAGCAACGTACCTAAACTCAGATCAGGCTCTGCTCTGTGCAGATTTCGGCATGCGCTATGTTGGTTTCACGAAAACAACGCTTCGTACACTGGACACCAACAGGCTAGTTAACACTTCCATCCAACTGGCTTATCAATTCTTCTTAGCAGATGCGTTTGCTAGTGCTCCAATTACAGATTCCCATTACTGGAATCTCTTGCAGAGGACCTTGTTTTTTTCTGGTCATCCATGTTGTGGAATCGCTGGACGTCCTATGACGGGCTGGGTCTATCCTTGCTCGTTGGAATTGCTTGACTGTCACTGAGCTATCCCAGTTGATTCAAGCTTCGCTGAAGTCCGCCGCAACCTCAGTCAACAACTCAAGCAAACGTTGCGTAACGATCACGAAACTTGGTGCTGTCAGCATGCTTCGGAGATGAAGGTAACAGCACTCGCTGGAAATTGTCGCAAGCGTTTCCAGATCATTCGAACCACTGGCCACAGAAGACTTGGCGTCAGCGAAAATTTTAGCGAGGCTGATAGATCAACAATAAGCTATTTAGGTAAGTGCATGGACCGCTAGGCTGAGCACTTCCACACTCAATGAAGTCGGCCTCCTCCTTCTGCTTGTCTAACAAGCAGGTAAACTTGCTCGCCTTGGAGCCTTTCCTTGGAGCCACACACCTAATCACAGGTCTGTCTTGGTCTTCGTTAAGTGAAACGATTTAACGCTGCTGGCTCTAACCGACGAGGCAGTTGTCAATCAGTTAACAGCTCTGTTCTCCAAGGTTTAGTTTGGGGAGGATCAATATCTGTAGTCGTCTTCAAAAAGGGTGCTCATACCTCGTGTGCCAACCACAGAAAAACCAGTCCGAAATCCGGCACATCCAAATTGCTGACATCTATCCTACTATGCAGTCCAACATCGATTTGAGAAATACCCTCCGGTGGGGAACAAGTTGATTTCCGCCCCGATTGAGGGTATTTTGACCATAATGTCTGTCGCTAGCTTACATCGTCACTTTTTGCTCAACCGAGCTGCGTTCGACTTAGTCTATAGGCCTGCTTCATGACGTTGTCTGCAACGGCGTGGGGTACCGATAATTATACCACGATCCTGCAGGTTTTCTACAAAGATGTACCCTGCTCTTCACCTTTCGCTTTCACTAGCGGTGTCTGACAAGGTTGCCGCATGTTTTCATTCCGCTTCAACTTTGCGGCTGAGCATATCCTATTAAGCGTTCTGGATGGTCACCAAGGCCTAGGCTTAGGGCTTTTTCCAGGCTGCCATGCGACGGACTTAGAATATGCTGACGGTACTGGCTTCTTTGCTAACGATCGCAAGATCATGTAAGTCGTTCTAAACCGGTTGGTGATTTAAACTACCACAGATGGCAGGACCTACACTCGGTCGAAATGCAAAATCCTAGGCTAGAATCGGCGTACATCTGCCTCTATGCTGCTTCTCGAACAGGCGTAGTTCAAACAAGTAGATAATTTCACCTAATTTGGGAGCTGCGTCTCATCCGATAACACAACCAGAAGAGCAATTTTTCTCTGCATTGCTAAAATACAATCAAGTTTCCCTGCTCGGTGGCATCAGTGCAGCTGTTCTGTTGTTATCCTCTAGGTAAAGGGAAGTATCTTCAATGTCTGTGTTTTTGCGGTCTTGCGGCACAGAAGCGAGTCCCGACCGATCCGTGTAAACGATTTCCGCCTTTGACAACGGTTATTTGCAGAGGAAAGGTCGTTTGCAACGATTACGTTGGTCTTCGCTGCTGAGTAATACGCGCCACCATTTCGGGAAGCTACCATCGCTGCGCCCACTGAGGTGGCTTGGTTAACTTCTAGGCTCGTCGTGCAAGCATTTACCACGACATGCTGTATTCAGTCGAGCAGCGTCGCACTAGAATAGTTGCGTGGTAGTCAACCTACCCATGGCGATAAAAGATAAAGGCGCTAACTTATAGACGTTGAAGACATGATGCGTAATCGCGGACAATGGAAAGTATTCAACAGTCTATGCATTGATTCGACTACTCAAAACCGTAATCCTTAAACTGACAATAAAGACAAAACAGCGCGTGCAAAAAGTTTGTTTTATGTATTTTGCAATTATGAGCTTTAAATTTCTTATGCATATACATTCCATGGTGTTTGATTGCTCGATGTCTATTGTATAGACATATATATTGTATGATGTATGAGGAGGAGATGTGTGGACGGCGGTCTGTACGGAGGAGTACCGATGGGGAGAAAAGAAGATAAGAGGGCACGAAGTAGCTATAACGATTCAAAACCCTGTGTGCGAGAAAAAGCAGAGATTTCTAACACACGGATACATGCAATCGGTAAACGACACAAAAGATATGTGGTAGTGTCAGGGATTTTATGGCCTATGCTCGGTGTTAGCAACAATCCGCTTCTGAGTGTGACGAAGAGGTAAACGTGTAAAAATATAACCGATATCGTAACTATTCGTGCTTTCATAGTGAGTAGCAGAACCGAGGCGACACAAAACTGTTCAAGGAGTAGAAACGTAGCGCGATTAGTTACATTTTCAACTGCAGGATAGTTTAGTTAAGTTCAGTTGAACAACTATAATGTGAACACCGAAGTGCAGTGGACTCAGTTGCCACGACTCACGTCGCAAGTAAAACAGTAAATGACAACGGCAAGATAGTGGGACTGAATGAAAATACAGTGTAAAGAATCTGAAAGTAAGAAAGCGTACGTCGAACTAATCAGAATTTAACGAAAACTAGCAAAAGGCTGCAAGAAACCAAATGCAGGGGCGCCACTGACTGCGTGACTGTGCCATGGCTGATACCGTCTCCAGCCATTCGTGTGGGCCATCTTGAGGCCTTCATTCACGAAGACGGCACACACCAGCTTAACCAAGTCGCACAGACACTTTCTTCAGGCTTTTATGCCACGTCATGGACTGGTCACCTCGCGGTTTCGCCCAAGTTGGTGCGGCCACGGCGTATAATACACGCCGAGGAACCCGGTCAACGGGCATACGGAGGATATGGCCTAGCTAAGGTAAGCAATTACAATTTAGTAAGCACTCGACTGAGGCACCAGAAGGCTTCTTGCCAAAAAGCAACTGGCGAGCCTCAGCAGTGCTCACCAGGTGTCCCCACCAAACGTGAGCAATACTCCGTAAACACTGGTGGTAAACTACGGCCAAGCGTTTAAGGTCTTCACTGTAAACTGGCCAGGTCTCTGATCCATGCATTAGGACTGGCCTTACCACAGCGTTATACAACCTACATTTTACAGACAGGTTAATATTCAGGCTTCCCCATACATGGTCGAGCCGTTGGAATGCCACATGGGCCTTGCTGATACGCGAGGTAATTTCCTCAGTGATGTGACAACCAGAGGTGACACAACTGCCAACACAAGTGAACAGATCCATCACTTCCATTGGCTGTTCGGTAATAGCCGGAAATGGTGTGCCTTTGTGTTTTAAACTAACAGAGTTCGAGCAGCACCAAGAAATACCTTGTGGACTTCTCTCTCTATATGTTCTACGACTTCGGGCACAAGCTGTGAATTAACAAAAGTTTTGAAGATCCCTGGCTACCCTAACATGGTATTTGATACTCTTACGTAAGCAAATGAAAACTTTCGCCGTTTATAGGTGCAGTCACCCATCGTGTATCCAGCTGTGGTATATCTCATGGGCACTTGCTGAGTAAATAGCACACTAAGGCTTAAATCGTCGATTTTTAGAGTAGCAAATGATAGCATGCAATGGCCCAATTTTGATTTTATGCGTGTTAATAATTTCAATAACAAACAGATGTCACGGTTAGGCTAATACATACGCGATTACTGAAATCATGACATGACCCTCCCGAAAGCGGTCTATGGTCGGTTGCATTATCACGAGGTGTGCATGGACATTTTACATTTGTAACGATGTCCACGTTTCATGTATTACTTGAAAACCATTAAAGCAAAGCGTACTTCTGTTTGCCCCCCTCTGGTTGCCAAATTGAGACTAAAACCTCTCAGTCTTTCTGCCACATGCTTTTTAGGACCTTACTAAAGTAAACTAAGAAAAATTACGGTATTTGCAGTACCGTTTTACCGATATATCTGTAACAGTCTTTCTAAACATTTTATACCGGTGAGCATTAATGATACGTTACGTTTATGATTTCAGAAAACATGAGTACCTTGCGACTAGGCACTGCTTCGAGGCTAAAAACGGCGCAAAATCAAGGAAATGTCAGAGGTTCTGGAACGGCAACTAGACTGACCACTGGTCTGAGACCTGGTACCCGTGGAGGTGGTGTGGGAGCCACACTAAACACTTCTGTACATGTCGAGGATCGGCCAATTACCCAACAAGGCTTGAGTGGGTTAAGGACAGCCGATAGAGGAACCAGAAGACAAATTGAAGACAAACCGTATTATCTCGGGCTTCTGCGTTCAAAGATCAATGAGATTACCTCTGAAATCGGAGTCCTCACCCGACAGATAAAGGAAACAGAGGAGGAGAATGCCAGCTTTATCCAGTACGAACAGATGGCTGAGAAACTGGCACTTGAGATAAAGGAATTACAAGTCAGTCTTAATTTACTTGAATCCCCTCAGTTTTTGCTTGAATAAGAGTTACTAAGAGTTCGGAAAACGGCTGTTTCCGAATTGTTTTTCAAACCTATAGAAGTCATGTGGATGGGGCTCATGAGATGTATTCGGTCACTGATTGATTAATAGGACGGTATCGAAGACAAAGCTCATATGCGCCTCTCAAACCAGCCACTCACAACCTCCTGTCTTCATCCAACGAAGCTGTACTGAGTAAAATAGTCAAAACTTTAATATCCCTTACTGTCTATCTTGTGTTTATAAATGTCTTCCTCTGGCCTCGTTTCACCATTAAGCGATCAAAGCGCTTGATCATGGTGTCTTCATCTCCTCAAACTGCTACGTTCTGCTGCTGGATTTTCGGTCGGTGATCAAAAGGAGTACACACTTGCACTGTAATCTTGAGGTTAACAGTTTGGATCCACATATAATCGGGCGATGTCTTGGTATATCCAGCCTACGCGTGAATGGTGATGGTCGCGTGGCAACGAAGCTTCGGTACGTGTGTCGACGTACACCAGACGCTTTTTTGATTTGTATCCACTTATTCTTATATTCAGTCGATAGTTTTAGTTATCTATGAAGCTGTGTTTCTATTAGTAGTGTAAATGGAAAGAAGGTATCGCCTCGTAGCCAAATAGGCCTATTGTGTCTGCCGACAAATGACATTGGTGTCGCAGTCGGGGTCTCTCGTTTGTTAAAGAAAAGCATGTACAACGCCAATGTCCCCGCGGTGTTACTGCACTGATGCGAACCTTGGCCAGTTTGAGTGAATGACGCACGCCATGTTAGTGCTTAATGAGAGCATGGGATTTGTAACGATGAGGTCAGAAGAAATAATAATAGAACTTGGGACATGTTTTCAACAAACTGTCCACGCTAGTTCAAATATAATTGTGAGTTACGTCCCACGCATATCAAGCGAGCGTGCAGTATGCCTTGCTTCACTCACTTGCTTAGGGCTACACCGAAAGTACTGAGATGGTGTTCAGCTTACCACATAGTACTTAAGCGTAAAAGCACTGAGTTACCGACCTGACACTGTTGAATTCTTACATCTTCCTGTTGGTGATCTAAGTCCGAAACATATCGGCAATTGGAAGCTGTAAGATATGAAGCGGAATCGGGTTCAGTTGAAAGATCAGATGCAGCCCCAAGGACCCCCGAACGTTTCAATAAACTAAAAAGTAACAAAGTGAAAGTAAGTGGAAAGCAAAAAGCACCACATGGATCCTTTCTAGTGCAAACATAATCACCAAAAGGTACGAACGTTACAGTTTAAATGCATCTGTATTTATTAACAACCCTACGCTGAAGCAAGATTTGTGGCCTGTGATTAACGCATCGAATTCGCACTAGATATTAATGAAGGTTATCGCTGGGACATGTCTATTAACAATGTCTCCGACTACTGTAATCACAAGGAGACCGAAACACTAGGCACTTTGGGTGGACTAATAGATTCGTTCGGCTGATTCGTAAGTTCCCTGACAAAACAGACACTTGCTGTGATGTTTGGATCCGCGTACACGTTACCGTTTTGTGTTCCTCTTAGAACTGTCGCAACATTCAACAACACTCAGGTTGGTGCTCTGGCATTTGTCTGTGACAAGATGATAGCATTATGCGTGAGCTGTATCGCTTCACCATAGCCAAGGTCTTTACCACCTCCAGCTAACGTACGGAATGATAACGGCTGGATATCCACGGTACCAGCAAACATCAATTGATATTGTTCTTGCAGGTATGACAATTGACTGCTTATAGTATGTGTGACACAACCACTAGTGGCTTTCCGGCGGCCGTGTAATTTGAGCTGCATTGCATACACATCAAATATTTGTGCCTGGAATGTAACAAGTGTTTTGCACATTTCAGCGATAAATCAAGTTTAGTGCATGTAGATGCAAGGTCAATGAAGACAGTAGATAGAAGCAACATATTTCGCTGTCAAAACTGAAGTCGCATTTGTTGGGGGGGGGGATTCATTTTCGCCGTAAGTGGAGTATTTGGTGTATCGGTAACTCTTATCATCTGCAGTAGAAAAGGTCACCAATGCCACATTTAACTGCGATGTCTTTTCATATAATTGGTAGTCCGCGGGATATATATTCTAACAGATGCCACTAAAAGACTGTTGGCGAAAGGCTGCCCAGTCGTTCATTTTGGTTTTCCACTTGTTGCTTGAATTTTACGGGTCTTGACAAAATACTGAAGTTCAGTTGATCGTTTCTCTGATTATGAGGCTGATGTTAATTACCACTCTCAGGGAATGGGACTCAGATATTAGATAAACATGTAGTGTACAATAGCCTGATAAACGCAGTCTTCTCAAACGTATTCAGCAAAGTATAGATTTATGGGTTAAGCCAGGCTAGTAGATAAATCCATACGTACGATTTGGAAGAATCCTTTAGGCTATGGCAGAAGGACGTTCGACTTTCTTATTTCAGAAGGAGCGACATAAAGCATGTTTAAAATGAGTCCTTCCATCTCTGTGGGTATCGTATAGCCCTCAGTGTCAAAGCAAAGTTTGGACAGCGATAACATTCTGGTATTCGTAATAAAAAGTATCCTTTATACTCTACATAAAGGGAGGTCGCCGTCCGGTTGAGTTGGCCTCACATTAGCCACTTTTTCTCTTCGTGTCTTCCGGTTTCTGTCCATGTTCATTGGTCCGTAAGTTCCGGTCGTTTCGACCGACTTCTACTTTGATATGCTTGAGTCATGATTGGGCAAGTTAGTTCTAGTTTGTCTGTCGGCCCAGCGCGACTACGGTCAACTGTCGTGGGTGACAACCGATTCGTTTTCTCTTCACCAGCCACCTGACGCTGCCGTTTGCTCTGTGGACCGGTCGATATCACATTCTGTGTCCCTAGTATGGGATCGCTGATGCGCACGCTTCTTCCGTTCGTGGCTGCTCTGGACAACACGCTCCGTCGTTCGTGGCACAGATGTGCTTAGTTTCCCTTGGGCTGAATCAGTCCTCATTTCTTTCTCTGGCTCGTCCAGACGTGATCGGTTTATATTGACAGCGACTGATTTGACGCCTGTCTGCTTATAATGTGTTGGTTACCTTCGCTCAAAAGACCAGCTATTACTAAGGGGGTACACCGAGGACTACACCGAAAGAGACGGTGGTCTACCTCCATCTGCGTGAAAGGATTTCAAGTAGATTGTATCGGGTTCAAGAATGAAGTGATTTGCTTTTAAATCAGCGCAATCCTGCTCCACCCACGTTGAATATCCCTGTCCCATATCTACACCATTGGGACAGTAGGAAGGTAGCTAAGCAACTTAATAACACTATGCAAGAGCAGTTTTAAAACAGAAATGAGTTAGGATGTTGCTAGTAGTACCAAATGAGCTGATTATGACTGTGCAAATCAAATATTACTATCACATCTGGTGTTTTTGTGATTTCAATTTTTCCTCTTAGCTAAGCAGTGCATTCCATGCATCGAACGCTCACCTGTGATTGATCCATTCGCTCCTTGTAATCGTGGAAAAGAAATCCTCTTGGTCATGGTATCAAGCTGATACTGAACCTCGATTGAGAGCTGTGTTTCCTTAAGTGATAACTTGATCCTGGCTGAAAGACGCTGCTGTGTCAATGATCGAAATCCTTTTAGTTACGCCTGTAGACAGTTTACTGTAAAGTTGCAGTGCAGACCCATATTTTCACTACTGAAGCCTGCCTACCACGCATATTTCGGGATGGCACTGGGAAATCAGGATCAGAAGTGGGCGTCATATATTTTTTGTGTGTCGTGCAACCTTCATCTGACTCAGCGGCTCAAGGGCAAAGGCAAGGTGTCCTTTGTAATTCCCATGATGTGGAGTCGAAGGACAGCCTGCTACTTCTGTCTATTCGGTGCCCGTGGAACCACCAAGTGAAATAAAGATAATATGTCGTGCCGCAAATCATCCATCAGCTATTCGACCTGTTCCTCCCGATTGCGCTTTACTCATTCCAGTGCCCCCAGTGAACATGACACTGATGATGAGTAATGATTCCGCATTGTCAACTTCCCCCTGAATCTGACCTCTGTGAAAACCTTGTAGCTGAGGTTGTCAACCCACATCTTATTGAAAAATCAGAGTTGAATGACTTGGTACGTGACCTGGGCTTGCCCAAATACAACGCCGGTTTGATGACATCTCGGACGCACTTACTCGCATCAAACACTACGGGCACTGTATACAGAAAGCGAAGTGTTAAATTATCCTGTTTCTATGACACGACAGTAACCTTTTGTTACTATTCCGATGTGGAAGGACTGATGAAGTAGCTTGTCGTGTGGCATACCAGTGATGAATGGTGTTTGTTCATTGGCTCGTCCAGGAGTGGTCTTAAGGCTATACTGCTCCACAATGCAAATGTGTACCCAAATGTTCCTCTGTCGCATCCCACCAATATGAAGAAGACTCGCGCAACTATACATTAAATCCTCGCCGCACTAAAGCACGATAAGTACTGTTGGAACATCTGTGCTAATTTCAACGTCATTGTACCCCTAATGGGTATGTATGTAAGGGGGCTACAAAAAATATCAGTTTTTCTTGCTATGGGACAGTAGATCAAACCAACAGCACTACGCAACCGAAAAGTGGCCAGAGAGGACGGAGTCTGCTGCAGGGAAGATGAGTGTAAAGCATACACCTTTTGTTCAACCTGATCATATCTATCTACCACCCCTGCACGGCAAGCTTGGTTTGATTAAAAACGCCGTCAAAGCTCTTAAGCGAGATGGTTTTGCTTTCCAGTGCCTGAAACAAGTATTTCAAAAGATCAGTGATACAAAGCTCAAAGAAGCGATAATTACTGGGTCTGATGTTCGCCGGAGAAAGGCAGACACTGATTCGGAATGCCAGTTGGCTTCATTTGATTTAGAAGTGTGGCGAACATGCAAGGCAGGATTTTTGGGCAGAACAAAGGCAGAACTACAAAGATATCACCAAGAAGCTCATTGCGG